ATACATTTTGCACACGGCAATTTTTTCAAAACAAATGAGACACATAATTGAATTATTTTGCTCCATTACAAAATATTCATTTGTCCAAGATGGGTTAAATATACGACCTCCTCTTCCACTTTCAGTTTCAGCTCTACGTCTTTTATTAGCACTAGCAGAAGCCATATTTAAAAAAAAATCAATATAACTATGGTTCCGCTAACCAAATAGTCAATACCGTTGTTAACCAGTTTTATAAAAAAAATAAGGCGGGTAGTTTTAACCGTGTTGCAATTTTAAAAAAAATCTGATTTTTAAAATTATATTAAAAAACTGCCCTAATTCTGAGCTACAGAAAAAATAGTTTTAAAAATATAATATTCACTTGATTTTGTTAAAAGTTTTGAATGGTTTTTGATAAGTTAAGAATTGAAAACGCGGGCCATGGCAAAAGACAACGAGGGCCACTTTGTGGCCCACGGGCCACGCGTTGGACAACCCTGATATATATATATATATATATATATATATATATATATATATATATATATATATTATATATAAATTTATTTTTTATAAATATAAATTTAAAATAAATATTTTAAAAGTGTAACTTTAGTCTGTGTAGGAGCAGTGCCCAATTATTATTTGCTTTATTAAAAAATTCTTTCCTATTGAACCAAGGTTTCCATCATCCAAGTTTGCTGAACAATTTATTGTCAGTTTTCTGAACAGTATGGACTGTTTATTCTAGACTTAAACCTACACAGACTAAAGTTACACTTTTAAAAAAGCATACTCAATGCGTGAATCAACTTTGAATAAGCCTTGATGGAAGAAGAGTTTAATTTATCATTAACTTTGACATACTGCTCAAGACCCGGAGGAACAATTATTCAGTTTTTGTTGGATTATGTAAAATATTTACAGTAATATTTTAAAATTTAAAATTTTTTTTGTTGCTTAATATTTTGTTTAACTTATTTGACATTTATTTTTAAAAGAAAAATTTAACAGGCACCTAAAATGGTAAAATGGGCTTATGTCCCCCTCAATTTTACCCTTTGCCCCATTTGTGACCCTTAGCATTTTTTTTAACTTTAAAAACGCTATTTTCTATTTTTAAGAAACAAATACTCTTGATTAAATTTTTTTTTTTGTAATTTGCAACTAGCACACATAAATGGGCTTATGCTCCCCTTGTGTTTACCCTTTTGCCCCATTTATGACCCTTAGCAATTTATTCGGATTTTAAAAAATCTCTTTTTTATTGTTTAATACAAATAGTATTAAATAAAAAAGTTTTCACTTGAGTGACACTTCATTAAACCTAAACTCATCTCTGGTCCACAGTGAGTGTCTTAAATAACAACATTTTTGAAAAATATATGCTGGCACCTCCTTGATATGTTTTATATGATAAAAAAACACTGATTTAAAATTTTTTTTGGATAAAATATGTTGGGTCTCGAATGGAGCGAAATTATATGAAAATTTTAAAAATGATAACTATTGCATTAAGGAGGGTTCAAAAGTAATTTTTTTTAGATTTTGTGTAGTTTAACCATTTTTCTTAATTTTTTATGCTGATTTCGAATTACTTAATACTTTTTTTTCATTATAAATATTTTAACCTTTTACTTTAATTTTAATAAAAGTGATTATTTTGACAAAACAAGTGATTGTTAACTTAGTAAATAATTTTTCTTTCATTTGTATCAATAAAATATGTAATCATTATGTATAGTTATAAAAGCAAAATAAAATTAGGCATTTTACACAAAATTAGTCCATATAAAAAAAAATTTGTAACGATTAATAGTGAAAATGCGAAAAAACTTCATAACAGCTGTTTAATTTGATTACACACTTCACAGCTGTTTGCATTGATTGGAGTTTTTCTAAAAAGCAAGAGGTCCGAGGTTAAAAGTTAGCTCTTGCCAGATAAGCGATGTTGATAAGTAAGGAGGTGTGAATTTAGTTAAATTGCTCTTTGATGGTGCTTTGTGATAAGAACCTAATTTCTTCTTGGAGCACCTTAACAACTAAAAAAAAAGTCATGTAGATGGTTGCGGATTGTTGTGAGGACTTTCCAAGTAGAAACTTATTAAGTAAACCTAAATTAACAACTTAATCTTCTGTAAATATAATACAGAGTTTTTAGCGTGGACGTTTGCAGAGTGGATCTACTGAATCCCTAAAATAAACATCCCATTCTTCAATTGTTTTTGGCGTTTAACAGATCTTTTTTTTTTATATATGTATTCTTTGAAATCTGATTCACTAATCAAAACAATGGGACATATTTTCCGAAGCATTTCTAAATGATCTGAATTTTGATTTGAAAATGGTTTGGATACCATGAGGAACTTTTTTAATTGAAGGTATTTCCAAAGCTGATTGCAATGAGTGCAACAATGACACTTAAGCTCAATGTAATTTGTAATTATTTTATCAATTGCAAAAATTTGTTTGAAAACGTGATACATCAGCTATTCCATCACTGTCTCTTTTTCCTAATCCAATTTTATCAATAATCCATAATAATTTTTAAATAATAGCTAAATATTTAGCTTTCCATAGCTAATTTTGCAAAACTATATTTGCAAGAATTATACAATTATCCAAGTTTTTTGATGCATATATTCAAACTGCTTTTGCGACTATTGAGCAGCCAATCTTATTTAATGAAAATTTCCAAAAGAAAATTTCTTTTTGACTTCATTAAAAACAAGTACAAAATAACCGCGAGTAAAGGCAACTTTGTATGATATAATTCGTCAACTACTGGAAGATTTCTAGAAAATATTAATTTTTATTTATTTATTTACTAGTTTATGATTTGTTAATTTACAAGATTATTACTTCTTGATGCAATATTCATTTCATTTATGTTGGTATTTAAATTTAGTTTGCAAAATTAATAACAAAGTATTTTCTAATGAAAGCAAATTTTTTGCACTAGTGTAAGATTATTTTTGTATAAACACAATTTTCATTCAAATTAATTTAAGATTATTCAATCAAAATTTAAATTGCATAAATTTTAACATAAATTTTAACATAAAGTTGCATAACTTTACAGGCAAAGAATACTTTCTAGTTTTAAAGATTTTTTAATATTTTTAAAATGTTAAAAAATTGAAGTAATCAACCTCAAAAAAATTGAAAACTGAATTTTTTTTTTTTAAATAAATAATTAGTTTTTTTCTTTTAAATAAATAATTAGTTCTAGGTTTAAAATAATTAGTTAACAATAACTGGGTTTTTTTTTCATCATCTTTGCTTCCAACAAGGCTGCAAGCAACCACTAATTAGTGTTGGAAGTTACTGGAAGAGAAAAGATGAAGATTGTAGAGCAAGATAACGATTGACAGATGACTTAAAAGATTGCAAATTATATGAATCAGGAAAGCAAGATGGAGGAAGTGAATTCCAAAGACCTAATGTTTGAGGGAAAAAACTAGACGAATAAGAGTTTTTGGAGCACTTAGGACCAGTCACAGAAAAAGGATGAGACTTAATTAAATGACAAGTAACACGAGAATGCAATTTAGTAGATGGCACAAGAGACGCTAGCTCTTTGGAGCAGTGCCCATTATAGTATTTGTAGAAAAGAGAAAGAGAAGCAACATTACGACGATGTGACAAAGGTTGAAGGTTGGCTGCAAGAGCAGGTTCAACTATGTTTACAATGCGTTTTTGCACTTTGTCTAAAAGAGAAAGGGCATCATTAGAAGATCCGCCCCAGATATGGCAACAGTATTCCATACAAGGCCAGATTTGAGATTTATAGAGATAAAGAATAGAATCCATAGTTAGAAAGAGATGCAACTTTAGTAGATGCCAATTATGCAACGGAGTTGATATTTAAATTGAAAAAAAATAGAACTTTGTTAAACAAAAATCTATAATTTTGGACCCCCCTTCCCCCTAATATTATATAAAAATAAATATGTTAGATTTAACAGCATAAAAAATTTTTGAACTAAAAAAGAAAAAAGTGCATTTTTACCAACTTTTTTGACATTTTTCTTTTTTTTTTCAATAAGTTTTTTTTTATATAATTATTTTTAAAATTTTTATATGACTTTGGTTCATTTGAGATCCAACATGGTAAAAATTTTGAAGAATTTTTTTATTTTACAACATTATAAAGGATCCATCAAAACCCTAATTAACTTGATGGATCCTAGTAAGATATAGAGTATATATATATATATAATAGATAGATATAGATAGAGATAGAGAGATAGATAGTAGTAGTATATAGATATGACATACAGATAGAGATAGAGATAGATATATGAGTATATAGATATATTAGATATATATATATATATATATAGATAGCTATATATAGTAGTATATAGAGATATGTATATAGATATACGTATATATATAGATATAGACATAGATATATATAGATACATAGATATATATAATATATATATATATAAGATATATATATATATATGGGTGTGTATATATATATATATATATATATATATATTCATTGATATATGTCATATATATATATATAATACGATATATATAATATATATAATATATATATTATATATATGATATATATATATATATATATATATATATATATATATATATATTATATATATATATATACACTATATCAATGAAAATATATCATATATAATAAATCATATATCAAGGACACCATATATCGAATCTGTTGCAAAATTAGCATCTGCTAAAGTTGCATCTCTTTATCGAGCTCGACACTTTCATACTCTGGATTATATTTTCTATCTTTATAAATCTCAAATCTGGCCTTGTATGGAATACTGTTGCTATATCTGAGGCGGATCTTCTAATGATGCCCTTTCTCTTTTAGACAAAGTGCAAAAACACATTGTAAACATAGTAGGACCTGTTCTTGCAGCCAACCTTAAACCATTATCACATCATCATAATGTTGCTTCACTTTCTCTTTTCTACAAATACTATAATTGGCACTGCTCTAAAGAGCTAGTGTCTCTTGTGCCATCTACTAAAATTCATTCTCGTGTTACTCGTCATTCAATTAAGTCTCATCCTTTTTCTGTGACTGTTCCTGAGTGCTCCAAAAACTTTTATTCGTCTAGTTTTTTTGAACATCAGTATATATATATATATATATATAATATATATATATATATATATATATATATATATATATATTTATATTATATTATATTATATTATATTATATAATATAATAATATATATATATATATATATATATATATATATATATATATATATATATATATATATATATATATATTATATTATATATTATATAATATAATATATGCACACACACACACCAGGGGCTATTGTAGACCATTTTTAACAGTGTCAAACTTATTTGAGTGCCGACTAAACTAAAAGTTGGGGAACTTTTCTTTTCACATTTTTATAGCAAATATTGTTTTTCTCGAAAAAAAACGCCTAAATTTCTCCTAAACAGGGGGGGGGGGGGGATAGTACTGCTGCCTAAATTTTTTTCCTAGAATAGCCCCTGCACACATACTTTAAAGAACATTTACAACTTACTCAAATCTGCTTCATTTAACTGTTCCTCGTTGTTTCCTTCTAAAAAATTAATATCAACTATAATTAGTTAAAAGTAATAATTTTATTGAGGAATAATTATTTTTATAACTTTAAAATTATAATGGTATAATTAATAGTTTTTATAACTTCAAATTATAAATATATGCAAAGTCAAATATAAATATCATTGTCATAAATATAATGATTATATCATCAGTATTTGCATACTTGTAGATAATGAACAGTTTCCTAAAAGTTTAATGGTAAATATTCAAAATTACATAATTGAGTTATCGCCATCATTCCTAAATAAAACTTTTTCAAATTTTTTTTTCAAGATGAATATTAAAAATAACCTTGAAATGCTCAAGTATTCCAAAACATTTAAGCAACTGTGTATTGTTTTTTAATCAGCAACAAAAAAATTGGCCGTTTTAGGTTAATCTTTTTTAAAGTAAAGCATACTTATCCAACAAAAAGTTATTAACTATGCATAGAAAATGTTGAGTTCCATGCTGTACTAGTAGTTATGGGTCATCAACTTTAAAGGTGTCAACTTATCGATTTCCCAGAGATGAATACAAAAAAAAAACCAGATAAAGGCCCAAGAAAAAATCTGATTGTAAATAAGTACACTGTTGTGTACTGACTTTATAGGCCTATGGGTTGCAAATCTTTTACATTTTATCATGGAAAAGTACGCCCTACAGAACCAACAACTGTCTTCCCTAACATACTAGTCATTTTGTGTGTCTTTCCTCACCTCCTTTTAAACCCAGAACAACAAAATTGTCATCATCCAGTATATGAAAATACAACATCAGATGAACTAGATAACTTTAGAGAACATGATTTTTTTTGATTTGATAGTAATGATTTTTTTCAACCTAATGTTATGATCTTATTGATAATTTTTTTCAATTTGAAAATAGTGATGTTGTTTATATTATATGTTATATAATATATTATATAAATAGTGATGTTGTTATTATTATTATATAAATAGTGATGTTGTTTATATTATAGCAAAAGAATTTATGGTATTTCAAAGTATTTAGTTATCATTAATAGGGATTTAACTTGAACTTTGTTTTATATTGGGTAATTTTGGAGTATTCCTATTCTACTATCTATTAAGACATCATCATGTTGTAAGTATTGGTCAGTCTTTGATGAAATCATTTGTTACTTATAAAACAAAAATAATTGACATTAAAAAAAGTATTACTTGAGCATATGGACTGTATGTCTCAAAGGAAAGTTGGTGAATTTGCTTACTCTCCTGATATTATTACTTGAGCATATATATATTTTGTTATATCCAGGTCTCTGTACATTTCTAGTGACTATAAATTGCCAAATATGAAAACTTTGACAATAATCATTTCAAAGTTCGGATCACAAGATAGTATGGAATTTTTGAAAAATGTTATTTGGATATTGAAAATACACAACATAAATGTATATTGTCAGTTGATGAAGTTAATATCAAATCCATATAAACTTATAGTGGAGATAATTCTGCTGATCAACCCAGTGTCCTTGCCAAAACCATGTTATCTATAATGGTAAAATATTTATTTAACAGACTAGAGTTTCTAGTAAAAATTAGTCAATTAAATTCAGATTTTCTTTTTAAACAATGCAATCCAATAATTGAAACAATTAGCAATCAACCCAATCCAAAACTGATATCAAAAAATGCTAATGGAAATAGAGTAAAGTTGAAATCTTAGCAAATTAGATAAAACTTTCATCTCACTAAAACTAATTAAGTGACAGAAAGTTAACATTTGTTTACGAGTTTTTTCTGATTAAACCATTGCTGCACTTATAAATCATCCATCCATTTGAAAAGATAAAGTTGTTGGCACCATCAAATCTCTATATTTGTGAAGTTACTGAAATTAGGAATGTGAAAGGTGTTAGAGCAGATATTCATTATAAAGATGAGTACCATGGAGTAATAAAATCACACACAGATAAAAGACTTCTATTTTTATTAGGTGTGATAGATATGATTAAAAGAATGAAAAAGTCAGGCCTAAAACTTAGTATGCAGCTTACAAAAGATACCTCTGAATATTTTTCTCATGTGTGTAGAGGGTTAGTCAAAATTGCAAGGTATCTTTTGGATTGTGGAAATGACTACGTTATCATGAGGTGGTTTACAACTAATCCATCAGAAAAAACTTTTAACAAGATTCACCAGGGTTCTGGAAAAACCTATGTTATTACTGCTCAGTCTGTTATAGAAAAAGTTAGAATTGAACATGCAAAACATTTTCTACAGTTGAATATGGAGAGCTTAGATAATTGTATTAATAGCCATTCCTGTAATAATTGTTTTCGAAGTTTAAATGAACAGGAGTCCAAAATTTTTGATAACTTGCTAGAAATCAATGATAAAGTTCAACCCAAATAATTACTTTCAATTTAACATACTGCTGGTTATGTTCAAAGACAAATGGCTACAATTATACTTATACACAACTTTATTATAAAAAATGTGGTGCCTACATTGATGACCTAAATAGAGGAGCTCTTGTTATTCCATTTAACAATATTGTTTAATGGGGCATAATTTATTTGCTTTCATTTGAGCAGTTATTAGATGAATTTTGTTAAACATTTTTGATGAAGCAATTCTTATCTGTATTGAAAAATTTTCAATTTGGTATTCATGACCAACATTGCTGGACTTTAATAAATATATTTAGAAGAAAAAAAAGAAATTTAGCAATAATAATAAAATTTAGTTTCTCATGACAATGAGTCTTAAATTTTATCATCTTATATAAAAAATATACTACAGTATATTAATATATCTTTATAATATATATAAATATATATAAATATATATATATATATATATATATATATATATATATATATATATATATATATATATATATATATATATATATATATATATATATATATATATATATATATATATATAATATACTATAGTTTATTAACTTTATTGTAGTTTTACTTTTAGGACAGTTTTAATATATTGTTATTATTATACTTTTTTCGCTCTCCATGTCCGCATCTACTTATTAACATTTCACCCTAATAAAAATTTTGGTTGGTTGTGAAGGCCTGTATTTCTACAACGCCATGATTTAATGATTATTGTTCTTATATTTTATAATATTAACAAATATCACATTTATATATTAAACAATTTTAATAAGTAATAATGACGGTAATAAATATGTAAATAAAATGTAAGTAATATTAACACCACATATAATAATAATATTAATAACAATAGTAATTATAATCTAAGATTTTAATTAGAGTATTTTTTTATCAACAAGTCAAAAAGACGGATTTTAAATTGTGAAAAAGAGTTGAGGGATTGAAAATGAAAAGGTAAATTATTCCAATATTTTACTCATTGGTTTGTAATAGAATTATCACCGAATTTTACCGAACAGCGATTTAGGATAGATAATTTAAAGTTACTCAAAAATCGAAGGTAATAACGAGAACCTTTTTTAGTGGTAAAAAAATTGGAGAATGACGGAGGGAGGTTTACTTGTTTATGATTCCAGACAAATAGACAATTTAATAAATAAAAAAGATTCAATAATCATTATTGCTGTTATTATTATTGCTATTATTATAATTGTTGTTATTTTATTGTTATTATTAATATTACTATTGTTGTTATTATTGCTATTGTTATTATTCTTAATATTGTTGTTGTTGATATTATAATTACTAATATAATCATTATTATTGTCATTATTATATTTAATAGTATTATTGATATTATTATAATCGTCTTCATTTAATTTACATTATTATTATTATTATTATTATTATTATTATTAATATTATTATTTTTATTATTATTATTATTACTATATGATTGCTATTATTATTTAATTGGTGTTTACCAAGATTAGTATTCATACTATTAGTAAACAACAAATGTAAACTTTTATTTCAGAATATAAATTGTTATTGTTGTTGTTGTTAATGCAAACAGTAAGTGTTTTCAATATGCATTTTTTCATATGCACCATGTACATATATATATATATATATATATATATATATATATATATATATATATATATATATATATATATATATATATATATATATATATATATATATATATATATATATATATATATATATATATATATATATATATATATATATATATATATATATATATATATATATATATATATATATATATATATATATATATATATATATATATATATATATATATATATATATATATATATATATATATATATATACTTTGTCTTTAATTTTTCCATAAAATTTAAACATGTTTTTTTAAAATTCGAAGGACCGAAAAAGTTTAAAAACTTAAAAAAAAAATTTTATTTGATTAATTTTTTTGGTTTGGATAAAAAAAAACACTAAGACATTATACATAAAAATGTTATTGTTGTTCAAGCCGTTAGTGATTTTAGACAAAATTTATAATTAAAAAAATCAACATAATAACTTGCATTTTGTAAATATTCTCATGAATGAAGTCATTATTATAAACACAAAAATAAAATTTTCTTTTAAATGATTAATAGGAAATTTTATATACAGATACACAGTATCTTTGGTGTAAACCTATAAATTTGAATGATGCAGACTGTTTTGAGCCCTCTTTTTTGGAAGAGCTATTAATTGAAGGGCATTAGAATATGATTTAGAATTGAAGAAATGCTACAAACATTTTGTGACACTCACAAACAACTGAAAACCATAAGAAGAGTAAATATATATTTTTATGTTGAAATTTGCTTAAATTTATATATTTTTGCCAACTTAGTTTAAAACATTAAAAGTCTCCATGCTGAACATACTATAATGCAAAAATTAAAAATATGTATGTAATCCAAGTCAATTCAAGCTCACATTTTCTAAAAATGATGGAGCTTAATTAGCTAGGATCATATAAATAATGTAAATTTTAAAATTACTGACTTAGCTAAATAAAAGTATTACTAGGGAGGTGGTAAAACAATTGTAAAACAAACGTGATGCTTTAAAACTATTAAAATTGTTAAAACCTCTTCTGGGTTTTAATATTTTTTGAACAAAATTATTTTAAACTTTTCAACAGACAGTGCAAAACTGATGATTTTGTTTCAACAAATGTTGAAAAAATTAAACAAAAACTTTAAACAAACAAAAAAAACATTGCCTTGGTCACATGTTTGTTCCAAAGAAAAATTCCATAATAATGACTCCACATAATAGTTTGTGCCGCCAACTATGATAGGAACCTTTTTCTGCTTAACAATATTATCAATGATACTCAACGCTTTATTTCGAAACTGGACAACACTAAACTCTAACGGAGGTGAAATAATATCTATCATGTGATGTGGAATTTCTTCCATTTCATTTGCTGTTACTTTATTGGTAACAACATCAAGACCTTTGTAAACCTGACAATAAAGTATAAGAAAAGTCATAGTGTATACTTTTTAGCTAAAAGTCATTAAAATTTAAAAATGTAAAATAATTAAGAATATACCAAAAATTATTATAAAAAGTATTTAGAATTTAATTGAATAAAATTTATTTAAAAAAAAAATTTCATTTTTGAGTTGCCTGCTTCATTATATTCTGAATATCTGAGTATTACAGAAATTGATGATACCAAATGACATAAATCATCCTAGTCATATTTTAAAAATCCGGAAACTTGTTTGAATAAATTATCTGGAAAAAGTCTGGTATTTATTTTACTGGTATTTATTTATTTTCTTTTTAATTTCACTTTTAGCTAAGTTGTTTTTAACTTTTTTTTTTAATTTTCATAATATTTATAAGAGTGATGAGTGAAAAAGCTTAAAAAACAAATAACTTTAAATTTAAAGGGATTCCCAAGCTTCGAGACAAGTTGTATTTATATCAAAGATGAACACTAGAAAATAAGTTAAATGTTAATTAAACTTTCCAAAACAAATTATTGAATGAGATATTAACAAAAGCATTTGTTATTTTGCCATTATACTTCCGGTTCAGAGCCTAATTTTAGGCTCTCAAATCTGCATAGTTTTTACTGTTAAAAAAACGTCTGGTTTCAATAAAATTCTTTGCTCATTACAGAGTTTTTTGAACAGTTCAGTTTTACATAATCAGATTGGGTTTTCCACTTTAAAAATAGTCTGCGGTGGTTATAAAAAACATTCGCTGTAGCATGTTTTTTTTTTTTGTTCAACGTATCGTTAAATGTTTGAGTTAAATAAAATAGTATAATAAAAATTGTGATTAAGTGAAGCGAACTTTAAAATACAAGATGAATATTTTTTTTGTAAAATAAGTAGTCAATTTTTTTATATACATCACTAAGTACAATATAATCCAACATGGTTAAATTTTTTAGGATTTAAAATTCTTTTTTTAAAAAAAAAAAAAAATGGAGGAAACCTTTTAAAAAATGATCTTATATAATTTTTAACTAATGTTTATAATAATTTATATTTATAATTCAAGAAATCATTTTTAAAATGATCTAATATATACTTTTCAAATATATATAAAATTGAAAAACTTGAATCTTATATTTTTGTTTAACCGCCAAAGGGGAAATCTCTGCAATTTAAAGTTTTTCGATAGAAACTTTTTGTATTGACGTCAAATATAAGCGCATTATTCAGACCTGATTTAAAAAATAAAAAAAAGTCAAACAGCCGGAACATTCCTTTGCCAGAAACAAAATGGCGTTAAAAATTTTAAAGTTTTTTGTTAATATCTCATTCAATAATTTGTTTTGGAAAGTTTAATTAACTTTTAACTTACTTTCTAATGTTTATCTATGATATGAACACAACTTGTCTTGACGCTTGGGAATTCCTTTAAAAAAAAAATAGTAAACAACAAATAACAACTTGCAAGTATTGAAAATGTTTTGAATATCCAGAAAAACTAAAAAGCGCTAACTGAATGAAATATTGAATGAAAATATACACGAATGAGAGCAAATGATCTCAGGCTTATATTTAAAAATTACATTAAGCATGACGTACTATAAAGATGACCCCGACTAAAAACCTCTAACAAAAACATTTACTGTTTATTTTAAAGAATGGCCAAAAAAAAAGCTATATTTGAAAAGAAAACAAATTATAAAAAAAAATTAACAAAAAGTGAAAAAAAAATTTTAAGAAAAAAACTAATTGCAAAGGTCCAAATAAGCACCTTTTTTTCAGCAATTTTTTCGGGAATTTGAGCCATATATATACAGGGCTTAATTTAACAGTTGGACATCGGACATTGTCTAGCTAAAGCCTAAGATTGTCTGATCAATTTAGAAAGTAATCAAATATTTTGACTAACAAGAATTTAATTCTACAAAATAAAACTTGGATATGAATGGCATGCAATCAAATGCTATTGCTAACCACGCAAATGATGTTTTGATGATTTAAACGCTTCAGAAATGCGCTGAAAATAGAAATGTTAAGCTAAACTTAAATTAAGAAAAAAATTGAATGGAAATTGAATTGAAAAAAAATTAATTGAAAAAGAATAAGCTAAACAATTCCTTGCGAAAAAGAAAATAAATTAGCTTTAAAATAAAACTAAAAAAACTCAAAGTTGAAATTACTTTTTGTTATGTTTTTAATTGCATTTGAAAAAATTACTTTAAAATTTACCTTTAAAACATTTAATTAAAGTTACACAAAACACTTTTACAAATTACTTCTATTGATTGTTTAACAAATAAATAAATTTTATTTAAATTATTGAAAAGTGAAATTAAATTATTGAAAAGAAAATAATATATTATATTTAAGTTGTATAAACATTTTTTTCAAAAACTTGCAAAAAAAACTTGCTTAAAAATCAGCGTAGTCTTTTTAAAATCATAATTTTAAATCATTTCATACTTTAATTAAATTAAATAAAAACATTTGTTTATAGTATATAAACTTATCCTTATAAAATTCTTTATAATATAATACAATATTTCCAGGGGTTATATCATCCCAAAATTTCTTTGCATAAAAAATCACCTGAACAGTAAATTTAGTAGATAAAAGATTTACTTCTAGATACTCAAAAACTAGCAAAAAAAAAAAGATATTTTAACAACATTATTTGGATTATAAATTTAGATAAAATTATAAAATCGTGTGTAAACAATAAAGATTTTTAAAAAATTAAAAATAAAGAAAAAAAAAAATGAAACAATGAAAATTAAAAAAAAAAAAAAAAAAAAATGAAACAATGAAGATTTTTTTTAAAAAAAAAAAAAAAAGTCCTTACATTCTACAATAAAATTTTAATCAAAATAAATTTTCTATTTTTGCTGGGAGTTAAATTTACAGCAGGAATATTTTTCTACTTTATATGTTTAATTTTAATTAATCAACTTGTTTCATTATGAGCAATCTTCTAAAGTTTTCATTTAAATTGCTTCTTTTCTTTGTTTTTGATATACTGCAGCCGTTTTTCAAAACGCCTTAATTACGTATTTTGAGAAAAGCGCAGTTTAAAAAAACTAAAAAAAAAAAAGAAAAATCTGAACTCGAGAATAAGTGACGTCAATAAAAATTTTAAAAAAAAGTTATTTTTAAACTTTTGAATGAATGATCTTGTTACGGTTAATGACGCTTGTTAATGACGACACATTTTTACACATAAAAAAAATCGATTAATTTAATTCATTTTTTCCTCATGCATACTAACTTTTACTAGTCTAGCGCAACACTTTAAATCTGAGACTTACTTTATTTATTTTTTTTTACTATGATCTTATGAACCTTTGGGAATTTTAAACCAATTGGGAATACCGCATTATACGCAGTGCCATCAGGCTAGGTAACACCCTGATATATATATATATATATATATATATATATATATATATATATATATATATATATATATATATATATATATATATATTATATATATATATATATATATATAGGCCTCGGCGGGAAGCGAGAGCTTTAGCCTGTTTAAGTAAATATTCTGTACATAAAATACATTAGTTAAATTTATATTTAAATAAATATTCTTGTGCTTTCAAGATGACAAATAAATAATTTTTTATTATGTTTATTTTAGGATTTTTTTTGTTACGCACCTATAACATCTTTTTTTTTTCTTTTACTTAATATTTTTTTAATTTGTTAAAGAACTTGACTTAAAGCAGATAGTACTCATTACACTATTTAATAGTGCAGTATTACTATTTACTTGATTACCAGCCAGCCTCAGAACGATAAAACTGAGTTTTAGAGCTATACCCTCATTAATAGATAATAGAATAAGTTTCCTAGTCATAAAAACAGAGACACAAGCAAAACCCATGCATTTAGTCAAGAAGATCCAGCATTTAACACCATAAACTGCAAATAATGTGTTATAATACATCCGTGCAAGCCTAATATATAAAGAAAGGGTTCCAGGCTGGTCAACAGATAGAATCTGTTTACCTCTTAAGTCTTTGCCTAGGAGGCCTTTTACAAAACAGTAGTCGGATGCATTTAATGTCTGAGCCCTTGGAATTAGGGTCAGCATACATACATATATACATATATATAAACATATATACAGTGTAGTGGCTAAGCTATCTCATACCCCCCCAATTTTGTAAATTTGTAAAAGGTATTTGTAAATTGGGGGCTCATTTACAAATACAGGGAATCTTGTACAAATTTGAGGAGCTTGCTTATTTTTTTTAGTAATACCTAGTTGGAAAATATTTTAGAATTTTAGGCCATATTGATCGTTTTTTTTTGTTTTGTTTTGTTTTTGTTTTTTTTTGTTTTTTTGTTTGTTTGTTTTTTGTTGTTTTTTTTTTTTGTTTTTTGTTTTTTTTTTTGGGGGGGGTACTCCAAATCATTTGCCGGGGCGCTGTACATATATATTAGTGATGTACTGATTGCACATTTGTGGCTGATGCCAATACTGATGCCTATTGATAGAAAAAAGCCAATACCCATGAATTAACTAATTAATAAAATTTTGAAACCATGAAATCATACAATTTTAAATTGTGTACATTTTTTCATTGAATCAGAACTAGTAAACAAATACTTGAAATCAAATCAGAGCCTAACCTTTATTTTAAAAGATTTTAGAAAAGTTCAGTTAAAATAATATTTTTTTTTTTTTTATGAACTATGAAAAGAAAACTTTAAAAAATAAATACAATTTTAGAGGAACACTTTTTATTTAAATTTCTATATATATTCAAGTTTTAAAAAAAAAAGATATTAAAATGAGTAGATTACTTAGAATTCTGTAACCTTATTAATTTATTAGTAATTTAGATATCTAAACAACAATCATATAGAAATAAAGAAGAAAATAACTAAATACATATAAATAACAACCCTTAAATAGGTTGCTTTTAAGTATAACAATAGAAAAATACAATATAAAAACAACATTTTGGTAATAAAAGTGTAAGCACATTAACCTG